GGGTGTAAAAAGAATCATAAGAAGGCTGAAAAACAAATGGATCATAGACAATGAACAGATTTTTCTCCTAAACATGTGAAATATAAAACCAGGAAAACAAATCCATGCAAGTCAAGAAGCTCTCAAGTACTTTTCAAAAAGCTTCATGCAGGTTGCGCGTGGGAATGACCCCCAAGTGTATTGACAATTTAGTTAACTGGTTTCGCTGAAGTCCGAGGACCCCCCCAACCCCCGGCGGGAGGTTGTAAGTGAATCAAGGTTGAGAAGTTGAATGCTGTCATCCTCAGCACGTAGACAAGCTAAAAGAATTTATCACCTAATACTTACTCTCTGTCCCAATTCTTTAGGACACGGAGGTTAATAAAGAAATTATGATTTTTGACATAGAATATTCAAAGAAAACCAGAAGTACTGTCGTGCCAAACAAATTGTTACTGTATCCAACAGAACTTGCAACAAGCTATGTCAACGGAAAAATGAGTGTTAAATTAACTAGTTCTAAAAAAGTGTCATCTTTTGGGACGGACAAAGGAAAAGGGCCAAGTAAATTACGAGGGAGGGAGTATTATCTTCTTTATGATGTAAATAAATATATAGCAGTACTGTTAGTCAATAGCTTTTTGATACTTTCAGATAGGATTTGCTTTGCGCATCATGATTTTATATCTTCTATTGCAAGTGAAACAAAAATAGATTTGGATTAAGGAATGTGAAAAAAACAGGAAATGTGATTGAGCTGTTACAGCTAAAGATTTTGACAAAGGAATGTCAAAAACAGGATAAGACAATCTGGGCAGTTATACTAGTTGATGCTTTTGTTATGAGTATCCTCAATGGGACACGAGCTACAGGCGATTAGTGACGGCAGTCCTACTATATTCGTCTACTTCACAAACGAGTACATGATACAATTAAAGCATCTATCTGATACAGTCACCTTGACCTGAGTATTGATAATTACAAAAAGTGTAACTTACCACTGCTTTTTTCATTCATAGGAGGGCGTACAACGACATGCATAGTGATGACACCTCCTGGTACTTCAGCAACTGGAAGTCTGGATTCACCTAGTGTCTTATTGTTCTCAAGTATCCTTCCAGCATTAATAAGCTTCACATCATTTATTGTCTTTGGCCCATAATCTTTATCTGCCAAATTGAGATCTTCTGTTAGCAAAGAGGATCCTAGCTGACTAAACAAGCAGTTAAATTAAGAGCAGCACATTTGTGATTGCAGATTCAAGTTTCTTATAAAACAAAACATTCGAGCAACTGATTAAAAAGCACGGAATATGTTGCTATAAAAAAAAAGGGAGAAGGAAAAAACACCCGTCATCATATTATGTGCTCCTTTTGTAGCTTTTTGAGACAGGTCTTAAAACTAAGGCATAACAGTAACAGATGAACAAATGGTAACGTTCCACCTTATTGTTATTGGAGATTCGGAGCCCTGTGGTTTAGTTAAAATAACAGAAGTAAAACACTTCTCATTTGGATTTAAAAAAAAAGGTGGGATACCGGAAGGATATCCCTCAACTTCCATCAATCTGCAATTATTGGCAAACACGTAATGCAAATACTGATAGAGAAGATCTGGAAATGACAAGACGAATCCAAATTCTAGAGCTAATATTGTCATAGCAAAGCTTAAGACCTTAAAGTTGTTTAAGTTCATTTTCTTAGCAGGTAGTATGCATATATGTACTTAAAGTGGGTACGCCACTTGTGACTTTGGTGCATAAGTTCTAAGGTTCACCAGTGAGACGCAGAAAGCCGTGCAGTGAGAGGGGTGTGGTTGGCTTTTTTCCCTTACTCCTACTTGTAAGTATATCCCGTAAGAGGTCTATAGTGTCTTCTAGGTATTTCAGTATTACTAGTTCCTAGGCACGTGCGTTGCACGCGTATATATTTTACACTTTTACCCATAATAATGATAGCATTTTCAAAAATCTTGGGAATTGATTTGGGGAATGAGTAGTTAATGATAATGGTAAAAAAAAAAAAGAGTATTTTTCTCTTGGTCAAGTAAAAGTGAAAATATATTTTTAGTATAGTGGACAAGTAAAAGTAAACAGAGGGAGTATTATACGCGTGGGAAGTTAAAGAGCTTAACTTTGTAAAGTGAAGAAATTTAGATACATGAACCTTAATAAATTTTTTGACAAAGCAAATTTAATGTTACTAAACTAACTTTTATAGATTATATAGTTTTTTATTAATATTGAAGGTATTATTAAATATTAATATATAAATCTTAAGGACATAAAAGTCCAACAATATTCTAGGATTATTTTAGTCTTTCACATTCAACTTTTGATCTTCATGCTTAAATATAGTATGATGTGTGTGTATTTTAAATGCTTCAATAGTCAAAACTTGGACAGCAAGTCTATGGAGTCTGAGGAAGCAAGTTTGACAAACAATTGCTTCCCTGCTTTCATCCTTGCTTGATGCCCAAGTAATTGTTCTTATAAAATGCATGTTAACTCTCAAGTTGGAGAAAACACAATATTTCAGAAACATATTTAATCTCTCTCTCTCTCTCTCATTCATTTCTGCATCTTTGCTCAGCTTCTAAGTTGGAAAACCTCAATTTCCCTGCGTATACTGTTGTCCATATTATCATCCCTCTCGTTGTCAGTTCATATCCAGGCCAAAAGAACCTACTCTCTTTGTTTGGTATTTGAGGGGTCGGCATCATGTCAAATAATGTGAGAGCGCTTGAGTTGCAGAACTCGAAGCCGCCAACTGATTTATTAGTGAACGGAAAAAAGGAATCTGTCCAAATTGTTTCACATGAAAGACCAGAGGCCGGAGAAGATGCTCAACATTTTGACCCACCAACTAATCCAACTGAAAAAAGATTTGTGGCAAAAAGGCCTCTGCAGATGCCTCAACCACCATCGAGTCGACCTTTACTAAACAGACCCCTCAATGAAAATCAAGGTACTACGGGGAACATCAGAAAGAAGGTCAAAATGGACTTACCAGATTTTGATGGAAAGCTCAATCCAACTATATTTGCTGATTGGCTATCAGCTATGGAGGAATATTTTGACTGGTATGACTTGTCTGATGAGCGGAAGGTTAGATTTGCTAAAATGAAGCTAACTACTCTTGCAAAAGAGGTGGTGAAGTCCACAAGTAAGAATCCTAATGTATTGTAAACTTATTTATCAATGTTGTGAATTAAAAGAGATTTCCTTTCAATAATTCAACTATAGTTGCCACTGATTAAACTTCACATTCTTGTGTAACAGATGTGACAAATATCAAAACATTAAGGCAGACACCAGAATCTTGCAGAATTAATTATAACTGAATTAAACAGGTTACGAATATTCACATAAAAATGGCACATGGAATGAAGGGATATCTCAAAACAATCAGGAGATGTACTCAACCAATAATAGTCAAGAATACGCAACTAAGGGGTAGAAGTATGTAAGATTACCAAAAACAGAATAAACTGATGATCAATATAACAACCGTGGGACAATTGCCTCTGCTATAAATATTCAAGATCAATATAAGGATAGAGGTCTCATACGTGCGTTACTTTTTCCTTAATGGATATGCAGCAGGTCTGTAATGGCGTATTATTTGTCCATGAAACATTGACTTTCCAAGCTAAATTCAATAAGAAGATCGTGGTGGCACAAAGGATGAAAAGACGGAACATAAAGAGTGATCAGGTATATTCATTCTCTTAGCAAAAGAAATGGTAAATCGAAAGAAAATCCATGGTCCCACTCCATATATCCCTTGTTTAGAATCTTTCACTTATGATCCAAAATACAAGGTTTAACTTTCCTTAAACGGACAGTTTCATGAGACAAAAACTCCAGTCAATATAACAATCAACTCCGACTATTTCAAAAAATCACAAAGTAATTCATACCACTAACTTTCCCCCTTGGTCCAAGATAGAATAAAAGCAAGAAAATATAAGGACAAGAAACTGCTTATTGTCAATAGAACAAAATATGTTCACTCTGAAATGGAAGCACTAAATTTCAAATTGCTAACTCAAACAACAAAATATCCAACAAGCAAACAAATTATGCACCCAAAGAAAAGGAGCTGGATTTAATTTTTTAAAAAGTACTATTTATTCTTCAATTGAATCAAGCTGCTTTGAATTCACATAATGAGTAAAGTTAAAGAAAATTTACAACCTTTGGGCCACTGTGCAATAATCTTTTCTTTAAGAGTATCAACTCTGGTGTTAGGCATATACTTGTTGGGTCCAATATCACTGCCATCAGCAAGCCTGAATTTGATCTCAATTAACTCTTTTGCAGCCATCTCTCTAAATCAATCTCTCACAACGATCAAATATAATCCCCACTTCAAAGAACAATCATGAGGTCAAAAATTCCAAGAAAATCCAACAAATCAAATGCTTAGATTATTAAAAGACTCAATTTTGGCCAAGACCCACTACAAACTTCTCACAACCAGACCCAAATCCAAGAAAATATCAATAATAAACTTTTTGATTCACCCCCTTTTTTCAAAATCTAGAAAAAACCCAAATAGCAATTCACTAAAAAGATTGCAACAAAGTGATTGATTTCAGAAAAGGAGCAGATTTTATGGGAAAAAGTTTCAAGAAATGAATATTTGGAAAATGAAGAATAGAGTGAAAAGAAGATGAATGAATCAAAACCAAGGCGTCAGCTGAAAGAGTGAGAAACTTTTTTGTTTCGTTGGTGCTATATATAAATTGATTGATGTCGAAAGAAAGATAGAAAATGAAGAAGAATCAAATTGGAAAGTTTAAAATGTAAGATTATTTAACTAATGATTTGGAAAGCGAAACTTCTTACTTCGTCAGTTCCCTTTTGGGCATCCAGTAAAATTCACTTACAAGCCGACGCATCCCAGAAATGGGTTAATTACCATCAGATCCTTTGGGTTTTAGATTTTGCATTACTAACCCTTTCTCCAAGCATTTCTTACATTTCCAAAGAATTAAGAACACCATTTGAGTAGGAAGGTATGATACTCCTATTTTTTAGTAAGATTAAGAATACATAAATGTTGTCAATAATTATTTTACCACAGTAATAACAAGATTTTTTTAATTAATTATAGTTCTAAGCATTGTAATTTAACTTGACACCATCATTAAGTATAGCCAGTTGATGATATACTTAAAATAACCGAATATCTCAATTTTTTTTTTTTTATATAAAATAGCAAGTCAAAATGGAAATATCTTTCTTTTTATTATCATTTTAATTTTAATTATTATTAGGGTAGTCTGCCTAGATTACAGCCCTCTAGGGTGCGATCTTTTTCAAAATCTTATATGAACGCGAGATACTTTGTGCACCAAACTACTCTTTGAAAAGTGGAACATTAAATATAGTATTGCCCGATAATAATGTATCTTTTTAATTTATTTTACTCCTTACAACTCTTGAGCAAAATAGTAGAGCAAATATTAATAACAAAATAAAAAAACCTTTCGCCTCATTAATATCTCTATGTTAAATTGTTAATATTCTAGTGATCCACCTTTGAGACTAGCACAAAACAATCGGTAAGGCTCTTCTACTCAAATATTCAATATCCCTCTGCATCTAACTGGATCAAAGATACGTCATAATAGATTATATGATGGTCTCTGAAGTTCACTCATATTAAATTATGGATTATTATACTATTAGAAATTTATGAAAATTCTCACTCTCCTTATTCAGTTATGGTTCATATTTCTTGCCTGTCTATTTTTTTGAAAGATATTCAAAGATTGGATAAATTCGATTTCTTTTGGCATCTGAATTAGGTGAAAATCTCTAAAACTTCTCTAGAAATGATCCATTAGTTCACAAATTGCCTAAATGAACTCAATTCAAACGTGGTATGTGATTTGGTATTAAAGATTTCGCATAAAAAGTTGATAAAATTCGTAGATGTGAATTCAATTTTGATTTTAAAAGAATATGAAAAACTATTGTACTTTTTAATCATAACAAAGCAATAGAATCTAATAATCAATCTTGCAATGTAATAAGTAGTTTCAAACTCATTTTGGCAAATAAAAGGTAACACAATGAAATGCTAAATTGTTTATAAATGATGTGGACTTACTTATAAAACATTTCTAAACTTTAAAATTTTCTCGAGTTTTTTATTTAAAAGATGAAAGGGTATGGTTTCCTCATCTCAAAAGATTGAGGAGTTAACTAGAAATAAAAGTAAAACTAACTGATCAGGAATATTCAAATGAAATTGATAATGTATACTAGCATACTTGGGCGGCATTTGACAGCTTCCAAATTAGATTCAACAACTCAATACAAAGTTTGGTAAATATAATTACCAAAAAAAAGTTTGGTAAATATAGTACTTAGACAACTAGTTCGTAGTATCTTGATTGACCAAGTTGCCTCCAACGTTGTTCCACTTTTGCCCGCAGCCTTTGAATTTTGTAGCAATAAATATTGTTGTTAAAATAGCACGGTCTAGACAGTTTTCGGACTAGTCATTTAAAAATAATCAGCGTTTGTCAAGTCATTGAAAAATAGTCACTATTTTGCTGCAACAGAAACCGGTCCAGCATAATATACTGGAGTTCGGTGCACCCGTGTATGAACTTCCAGCATATTATGCTGGACCAGTATATTATACTGGAACTCCAGTATATTAGACTGGAGTTCCAATATAATATACTGGAAACTCCAGTATATTATGCTGGAGTATTTTTCCGGATTTTGAACAGTGTTTTCGTTCAGATTTATCTTTACATGAAAAGTGGCTAAATTTTGATTACTTTTGAAACTGTGGCTATTTTTGAATGACCACTTATAAATCTGACTATTTTTGAATTTCTCCCAATATTGTTTTGGGTTTTAGTATTGATGTCAACTGAAATTGAGATTCGGGCCGAAAAGTCTTATATTAAGGATAAAGTGCCATCTACTAATGGTAATTACGCACTCCTTCTGTCTCATAATATGTTCCATGGTTACTAAAAATAGTTGTCTCAAATTATTTGTCATTTTAGAAGTTCAAGACAAAATGATTATATTTTTACTTTTTTATCATTAATAATCAATTGCATTCACATTTAGTAAAAAATATGGATAATGTCATTGATAGAGATGACACATAAATTGAGAAATTATTTAATAAGGGTAAAGTAGTCAAAAACTATTCTTTCTTAAGGGGTGTGCACAAGAGAATCACGACACATATTATGAGACGGAGGGATTACTTAGGACTCAAACTCCGGAGCCACGATTTTCGATAAGGGATGTCAAAATATAAAAGTAGACATACGAAAAAAATCATGGAGAGTCAACAAATAATGCATGTATTTACCTGTAAAATAGTACAATTGAAATTATACGTGGTTTCTAGACAAATGAATTAACTCGATCCTGGAATAATAAGATAATTGAAGATATATGTAACACTTAGCCTTGATATGAAGATGAAATAACAGAAATAAAAATTCCGTAGCGAAGCCTCCGGGAGCAACAGTAATAAGAACAAAAAACAAGAAGATAAAATTGTATAGAGCTTTAATTTGAACAGATTGTAGTATCAGTTTACCAGAAAATTCGTCTCTCACAATGATAACAGAGCTCGCTATTTATAGCTAGCGAACGAGGTCCTAGGATTGTGCCATTCTTTAATGTCAATTATGAGGGACATTGATGAAGATATAACGGTGAGCATAAATGCCAAATTTCTTGTAAGGACAGTGTACTTAATGCAGTGGAATACTCATTAATGCCACCAGACGGAGAATATTTATTGTCTCTTTATGAATGTCATTCCTTCCGGTATTAAATGGGATAATTGTCTTCGGTTCCACATGTCATTCCTTTAAATGACCACCTGGCATGACATATTTTACCCTATACAATATGGGGTTGTTTGGTAGGGTGTAAAATAATAGTACGGAATAAGGTGTATTAGTAATGCAGAGATTAGTAATGCATGAGTTAGTAGTGCAAGCATTAGTTATGCAGATATTATTTCTTATCTATTATTTGGTGTGGTGTATTAAAAATTATAATGCATTGCATAATTTTTAAGAACTAGTTATTTACAAAGATGTCCTCCATATTATCTAGCTTTAAGGGGCTTTACGGATAATTTTATCTTTAACCATACTAATGCATGCATTAATAGCCTTGGTATTACTAATGTCATGTTTTTCTATGCATTACTTATACATAGGATAATACCAAGTATAATGTATAACTAATGCAAGTATTAGTTATACACATGTTGAAAAAATATACCAGACAAAGTATTAGTAATGCACAAAGCTAATGCTTGCATTATTTTTCCTAATACCTCCTATCAAACGAATATTAAGAAAAATTACCGACCAATACAATGCATTTTTTTAGCAAAAAGGAGTCAATTGACACCCCTTGCTATAAAGTGGCTCTGTTATTGCTCGAACTCGAAACCTCCAATTAAGATTATAAGAGTGCTCATCGCTCTACTATAACTTTTGTTGGTGTAATGCTAAATATTTAAAAGTGGGGTTTGAACAAGTCTAACCATCCCAGAGTGTACCTTTGACTTGCAACCAAACGGTTCCTTATAGTAATTATTTTTAAGTAACATATTTGGTGCTAGTTCAAAACTTAGTTATCTAAGCAACATTACTTACAGTGATACAAATAGAATATCTTTCCAAAAGTACATTTTCGAAAAGTACTTTTGGAAAAATACTTCTCAAAATAAGCAGATTTTTTCAGCTTGGCCAACAGACTATTAGTAAGTGTAGATTTTTGGGAATCCAGTAGCTTCTGTACATACCATATATATGTATTAAAAATATTCACTAAAATCTATAAATATTGGGTGTGAACTCAATTATTTACTATATATTTACTTGAGGTTGCATTAGGAACCCATAAACTTTAAATCCTGGATCCGCCTACGTCTATATCCATATGTAATTAGGTTCATCAATTTTTATCACTTAAACTACGTCTCATTGACACATTCAAATTGATTGAAGTCTACCAATTAGTTAATGTTTTTGGGATAAATGTACAATTTTACACAATACTCTTTAGGGAGTGTTTATTACTATTTTTCAATTTTTCTATGTTATCCCCATGAACTCATTTTTCTTCAATTAGAAGAAATATTTCCCTATCAAAAGAAGGAAAAATATTTTTCAAAACTTTTTTTCAACCTTCTTCACTTATTCTCCGTCCCCACCAACCCATCCCTGCCCACCCATCCA